AACACTACGCAGTAACAGTGAGACAATCGAGAGTTAAGATGAAGAGTCGGCATCTTTTTTTATAATACTTTTGTACTCAAATCTGGAAAAAAAAAAGCCTGCAAATACAACACTTCAGTTGCATGTGTGTGTGAGGTGAAGTGCCTCGTCCATTTCAAGTGTGACATAGAATCTTTTTACCTTATTAGACTAATAGAGTACATGTTAGAATAGTGATCATGCTTATGATAATCATGATTTCAGCAGGAGGAAGAAGGCTGTTTGTTATTTTTGGGTGCCTTGAGTTCAAACAGCAGAAACTGACGCGTCAACAGACAGACGTGCTGAGACTGCCAAGGCACACNACATGTTAGAATAGTGATCATGCTTATGATAATCATGATTTCAGCAGGAGGAAGAAGGCTGTTTGTTATTTTTGGGTGCCTTGAGTTCAAACAGAGAAACTGACGCGTCAACAGACAGACGTGTCAAAACGATCATAGGTGTTATTATTACATGCTTTTCTTTCAGTTTTAAGTAACTCTTTTCATATTTTAGTCGACAAATGGTTAGTTTACTATCCCACTGAGAGTTTAAGAGTGATATGTTGTGTACATGTTTTCCAGTGCATGTTTGTAAGTAGAGATAAAGACAGAGGTGAAGCTGTTTCGACGCAGAAGGCTTGTAGAAAATGCCTTTTTTATTTTTTCTACGTTCGGTTGTCTTAATTTATTCTCACTGTTCCATTTTTTTAAAAGAGGGGGAGGACATTGGTTTTTACTACTTTCATTTTTGACTTAAAGGTGGGGTATGTAATTTTGGAGAAACCAGCTCGAGTGCGCTAGAATTTGAAAGTACACAACCGGGAAAAATCTGCCTCTTCCTTCCATGCTTCCTTCAGACTTCCTTACAGAGCCCCTCCTCCAACACACACGAACGCACACATGACCAATGAGGGCACCAGATAAGTTTGTGCACAGATGGAAGGCTGACAGGCAGGTAGGCCATCCAGTTACTTTAGCCGGGCCGGCTCAGATGATTGGTCGTGTTTTTTACAGCGCTACAGCTTCCACAGATGACATTTTGTTATAGCTATTTATTTTCAAAGCATTTAATATATTCATTGCTATCGGGATGTTAAGAGCATTCCATGGAATATAACAAAAAGTGTATCTGAAGTGAATTACCTACTCCACCTTTAACACTATAGCTATATCCGGTTTGTTAAATATGCTAGTTTTAGTTCTCATGAATGCTGTTGAAACGAATATTATTTCCGTCAGATTTATAATCCTCCCTTCGCAACGACCAGGTTGGTTTTCTGGATCCACACTTTATGTTATACTTTGTGCACTGTGTTGAATTACTTCTGCTGTACAGTTAAGTGCGTTTTCACATAGTATTTGCAGCTCTGTTTTATTATTCTGTTCAAAAAAGCAAACATCTGTCGGGCAGCTGTGGAGGTTTCTTCTGTCCATAGAGCCTCGGCGTCTGTAAACATGAAGCAACGTGACACATGCATTGTAACAGGCTTTTAAAAAAGGCTGTGTTTTGATTTTATTTGACTGTCTTTCACCTGAAAAACATGTATTTTCAACAAACTGACAGGTTGTTTTTTTATTTAATTTAAATGAATGTCAATATTCTCAACAAAATAAATCTTTGTTCTTTGGTTTAAAAAACAGATATGTAAATCTCATTTTTGTTACAACCCTGACAGTCTGAAATAACAAAACAGGTTATTTAAATAAACATTGGGATACAGTTTGCAAAAGCTTCGTCCTAAATGATCTCTGATGTTTGCTAAAAGTGTTTACAAACAAAGCAGATAACGTGCGTACAGTTTGGCAAATTGTATTCATACAATTTGCCAAACTGTACGCACGTTATCTGCTTTGTTTGTAAACACTTTTAGCAAACATCAGAGATCATTTAGGACGAAGCTTTTGCAAACTGTATCCNTTCGTGCGGATCCAACTATTGTCGCCTCTTCTCCATGTCTCTTCTACATCAACATGTGTCCGCCTCTTCTCCATGTCTATTCTACATCAACATGTGGTCCCCTCTTTTTCATGGTTTCTACATAACATGTGCCCCCTCATGCTCTCTACCACAACATGTGTCCCTTCTCTCCCTCTTCTCCTTGCTCTTCTATCACACATGTGTCCCTCTCTCAGTCTCTTCATCATACAAAGTGCCCCCTTCTTCATGTCTCTTCTCTATATTATTTTGTGTCCCCTTTTCTAGTCTCTCTACATCAATCTTGTCCCCCTCTGCGGAAAGGATCTCGTGTTTAATGTTGTTATATATTGTCTCTCTTTTTTGTGTGGCGGTTCTCCATTCTATTATTGCTGTGTATGGTCTGATTCAGGGTTCATCTCTATGACATAACGAGTGTGCTTTGTGACCATTACCAATCACCAACAGGTTAATATCCCCCCCCCTTCCCTCTCCTCCCTTCCCCCCCTTATCACCTGAATCTCCTCCTAGAGCACCATTTAGCGCTTTCAAACCGCAGCACTTTTCCCACAAAGGTTCATGAGAACTTAGTTCATCAGAACTCTTTAGTCTTTCCGGCCGGAAGCCCCTGGAGTTAGGGACTGGCTTCAGTAGAAGCTGCTGGGACTCCCAGCAGCTTCTACTGAAGCCTTCCGAGTAAACCGCCAGAACGCCGACACTTCCTCATCTCCACCGCTCCCATGTTTACTTTTGTGTTGCCATAAGTTAGTCTCTCTGCGTTTGTGCGCTGGGCTAATGCTAATCATGCTAATGCGAGGATAATAAAATGGCGGCTTCACAAAACTTTTTGGGAGTTTTACGGGGCATGGTTTGCAATCCGCCCAGCCAATCAGAAATAGGAACCTTTTTCTCCCACGAAAGTCCCTGCTCTCTAGCAGGGACTGAAAAGGTTCTGATTAACTCATTTGAGTTCCGGCTCTTTTTGCTGTGAACGCGACATTTCGGAACTATATCGGAACTAAAGTGGGAAAAGTACTGCGGTGTGAACGCGGCTGTGGTGTTCTTTGTAACCAAATCTCTCTCAGAGGGGCGTGGGGAGTGGCTCCTTATTTTCATCTAAAGTAACAGACAGAGAATCAGCACTTTTGAAAACGGGGCTGAAACAGAGGGGATTATGGGTAATGCTGCAATGATCTGTTTGGTGTTTGGAGCCAAACACTTCAGAGACATGTTCTGTATATATCTGAGACCTATAATATAAAACAGTATAATAGGTGACCTTTAATAAACCGTATTGCAAATCATATTGTCAGAAGCTGTTTCAGACACTGCTGTGGGAATTCTCTGTCATCCAGGAATCTTTAAATTGGCCTTAGGACAAATGTTTTGATGGTGAAGAGGATAAAGATGAACAGATGTTTCCCATGGTGCAGTAAAAAGAAATGTGTAACAGTTGAAGGACTTAAAAAGGACTTGAATTACGTGTTTATACACATGGTTCTTATTCAACCTTATTCCCACAGAATGAGGGGAAATCTGTACTTAGGAATTATATTTAAACACTTTATGGAGCACATGTGGAGGGGCTCAACGTCGATACAGAAAACATATATTGGGTCAATATTTATGATTAAGTCACATACCCGGATCTCGTTGGCTAAAGCCATGTCGATCATGTTGCTGAAGGAATCGCTGACGTCGGTGAGGATCTCGTGGATCGCCTCCCTCATCGACTTCAGGAAGAACTCATCATCGGTGTGAAGGCACCTGAGGGGGAGGGACGTTTTGGATATTTTTCCACATAAACGTCTTCTTTTCCCGGCAATTGTATCAAAGAATTGTTAAAAGTCTTACCTCTCTGTGATATTGGTCAGCTCCATACACTTGTCCAGCAGAGATTTCTCATACTGCCCCAAAAGGAAGAGAAGAAACACATGATCAAATGCATTGGCATCAACATTTGTTATAATCAGAAATATTGTCTTTAAAATAAAACTTTCGACATTCTGATCATTGACATAGCTCGATAAATCCAAAAACTTTCAGGAACCTAATATAGACTCTCAATCAAACCTAGGATTGAGAGTGTGTGTAGACTTAAAAATGTATTTAGCAGTGACCAATTGATTTTCTATTCTTAGTGATGATAAGCCAAATCAAAGTATGAATGGATCACACTCTAAAGTTAGACGTTTTAATGTAACAGCATGAAAAAGTCCTAATTAAATCTTAATTGGTGAGTCAGGAAGTCTCAGTGCCTGATCTGAAAACTTCACTGCATATTTTCGCCTTTGTCTTATTTTGAAACATTGATTATTTTAAAGCCTTGAGGACCCAAAACTGTTTTTATATGTGGTGTTTTTATTTTCTTTCTGTTGTATTTTTATTTATTTTTTCACTCTTTCTTGTCCTTTTAATATATTCTTGTGATTTGATTTAACTTTTAGCACTGTCATTCATGTTTGTTAATCTATAGAGCCCACTGAGTCAATCGTGTTTTGGGATATTGGGCTATATAAATAAACTTTGATTTGACTTCTTCCCTGTCATCACTTTGTCTTATTTGGGAACATTGATTATTTTTGAGGACCAAAACCTGTTTTGATTTGTGTTGTTTTTATTCTCTTTCTGTTGTATGTTTCCCTCTATCGTGTCCATGTATTATCTTAGCACTGTAATTCATATTTGTTAATCTGAGGCATCATGTTTTGTGATATTGGTGTAATGAAATACACTTTTTTTTTATTTGACTTCTTCCCTGTCATCACTCACCTTCTGCATCTCAGGCGGTGTGTTTCGGGCGGCGCTGTACTCGTGCACCAGCGAGCGCACGTGGCAGTTGGCCCTGACGGCCGTGCTGTGGACCCTCTGCCAGCGACCCTTCTCCAGCCGCTGGAACATCTTCCCCAGCTCCGTGCTGACCACCAGCGCCCTGCGCAGCAGCGTCTGCAGGTTGTTCCTCGCCACGTGGTCGCCTCCCCCGACCCCCGAGGCCAAGATAAGCTCCCCCTGCTGGGCGTCCTCCTCCACCCCGATGGGCTTGGCCTGCAGGACGCACATGCACTCCACCTCCGTCATGTGGCGCAGATCCTCCATCCAGCGCTGCACCGAGTCCACCTGGAGGGTCTGCATGCGGGTACTGTGGGAGAAAAACACAGAAAGATTAAGTCGGAGCTAGTTTAAAGAGGCCCTATTATGATTTTTGGGGTTTTCCCCTTCGTGCATGTAAATGGTCTGCAAAGGCTTAAATCACAAGTTTACATCTGTGACATAATGACATTGACCGTCTTCCACTAATGTACATTCTCAAAGATATTGAAGTGACTGTTATTTTTGTATGTATTGATTGTTGTGCTTTTATTAAGGTCTTATGTGCATGTATAAATGTGTCTTTGGTTGTGTATGTATATACATATTTGCATACATATTTTTATATATATTTGTTGTTTTTGTATTCGGGATTGTGGGAAACGGTATTTCGCTCTCTGTCTGTACACACAAACTGAAAGATTGACAAAAAAGTTGACTTTAACATCTTTACGTAAACTTTGCGCTTCTATTGGCTAGCACTCCAACTCCTGTACGTGAATAGGCTTAAAGGGCGGGACCACTCTAAAGCGGTTGACCCCAATCAACAACAAGCGGCCATCCAACAATCAGAGGCAGACTGGGCTCTGGTTTCAGACGAAGGGGTGAAAAGACGGTGCTGGCTGCACAGGCATATGAGAAGAATAAAAGGCTTTTTGAACATTAAAGCGATGGAGACATAGAGGCACCCACCAACACAAAAAAGGGAAGCATAACTTTTACCAGTACGGCTAACTTGTGCATATTAAAGTGTATTCAGTGTGTTTATGTGGATCCATGGCTGGCATCAAAATGACGGTTAAGTGAAACAGACCAGAGCCGCTATTGATCGCGTGCAGAGAGGAAGTCTTAAATGCCTACTTGCTGGAACGTTGATTTGGCAAGCATACAATTGAGGGATTAATTGACAGGTACAGGTTCAGCAGTAGTTGCTCATTATTGATATTAAAATGACCTGCACAAACAAAACCACTTTTTGAGCACATGAACTCAGCATCACACAGACAGTGTTTTCTGAGATCCGGGAAGTGATGACTATCCTTCCGATTAAAACTGGACTAAAGCTTGAAGTAGATTTATGGAAAGAACCTTAATCATCTTTTCTCCGCCTCCGGGGTAACATGCGTTAATCAGGAGAAAATGACAGGAAGTGGTTACTCGTAAATTAGTTGACACAAATGGACGGGATCCATTTAACTTGG